CACACTGAAACGGAGTTGTTTTCTATTAAAACTAGACTATTATGGTCGATATTACCGGGATAGTAATTAAAAGCATTTTGTGCTCTTATCTACATGCTATTGCGAAAACTCATCAGAATTCCTTTTTTTTTCTTTTTAAAGGAAGCATACATTATGTAACGATATGTACGTCTCTAATATCATTAATTTTTGAAAATTATTTACCTGCTATATAATATCCGCCTACCTCAACCCTTTTTGCGCCCCTTATTTTTTCCTCTAAAAATTATAATTAAATTACCTTTAATTTACAACCTAAAATCTATTCAACATTTTAAATTAATTTTAGGGAGGTAATTTAAATAAAAATTTTGAAAATTTCACATGCTGATTATATATTTTTTTTTTTATCTTTAAAATTTTTATTTCCTTAAAAAAATAAAAATAACAACTTGGAAAATAGATAAGCAAAAAAAGAGAAAAAAAATCTAAATGGTGCAAGTTTTGATTTTAAAAAACTGAAAGGTAACTGCAAAATATTTATAATAAATTTAGTACTGACATACCAGATGAATCATTATGGTTAAATTATTATTTTTATGCAGCTTTTCGGTAGAGTATGACAATGAAAATTCAAAAAACAAAAACATCCAAATTTGACAGACAAAAAATATAAATAATAAAGCACTCAAATATCTGAATTTTTTTTTAACAATGTCTAACATGTATTAATATTCAGGTAAAATGTAAAAATTTAATTACAAAAATAGGCTGTGGTTATATGTTTTAACAACCGGACATGGTTCCATTTTGTTCACTCATACCGAAATCTCAATATTGGTATTTCAAGCTCAACTAAACTTTTGTAATATTTTTTTTACTCCTGTATCCAAATAATGGCGAAAACATTATCTGCATACTTTAAAGTTAACATACAAAGGCACCTAAGTTACCTGAGTAACTAAGTAGCGAGCTTGATTGGTCTAGAAGTGTACGTTATCGAATACAAAAAAAAAATATTATTAAAATATAATATGACTATTGGAATAAGCTATGCGAGTCGAAGTGCTGTACATAGAGCAAATGGAGTTTCCCCGGTGGCTTCAGTGTTAAATGAAAAGTCAGACAGGGCTGAATTAAATCGAGTTACTGATGATCAATAATATGTACAAAATCCTTTTTTTTAAAAAAAACAAATACACACTAGACCCACAATACCTAAATCCCCGACCCTTTCGTGAGATCTTCTCCACCAAAACAAAAACAAAAAAGAAAAACAAAACAAAGCAACACAAAAACACCCTCTATCTTTTCCAGACTTTTTGCTTCCCGATCAGCACATGAAACCTTCAGAAACCACATAACTCAATGTACTCATTTCTTCTATTTTATTTGAAACAATCTAAATCTTTGGGTTAAATACGTCATGCGCAAAAAGTAGCAGTACTGAAAAAAAAAGATGAACCAGAGTTGCTTGTCCTCTGTAACATTACTTCTGATAATACAACACATTGTTTGCGTGTAGAACGATCAGACTTGCATAGTTTACATTGCTATTGTAAAAGGGACTCCGGTTAAGTTCGGTTTGATTACGACCTTTGAACGTGTAAAATAAATTGATTTTTTTTAAATATTCCTTCACGGAACGCAAGGTCTTACGCACGAAATAAATTAAGTGATTTTTTTTCATCCCATCGCTTGCTGAACAAAAGAATGTAATAATTGTTTACTAAACATCAGTGAGTAATAAGCCGAGTCAATCCCAAGCGTGTGGACCGCAGCACAATCCCAGGCCAAACAAAAATCTCCTCAAGCCTCCCGTGGGAATAGGTCCCGTTAACTTTGGATGGCAACGCATCTGAGAGAAGGAAAACTCTGAAATCAAACCTGGAGTTTATAAGCCCCTCATAGGTGGTAAACAATGAAACAATTTTTTTTTTTAAAATCCGTCCCATTCCTGGAAGGGGGGACGCATACATAGCACAGCGAAATAAATTTGAAAAAAAAACACAACAAAACCACTGCTTGTCATCTACTATACCCTCCACTATTCAGTTTTTTTGGGGTTTTTTTTGTTGTTTGTTACCAAGACTTGCCACTGGAACGCAAAGGCAAAGAGAAGGTTTGACGATTAGAGCAGCTCTTCCTCATTTAAAAACAAAATACATTTCAAGTCAAGACTGCTACTCAAGCCGAAGTCTTTGCCACCTTCGCATGCGAACGACTATCAATGGTTTTAAAAATATATTTTTTTAAATAACACATCGGTAGGCTAGGCATTTGTATAATTAAGGGTGTCCCAATTTTACATTCTTAAAAGAAATGTCAATTTAAAGAAAAAAATATGAGACCCTATTATAATAGTAATAAAAAAAATATAAATTTAAAAAAAAAAAAATGAAACCCTATTAAAAAAGAAAAAAAAAAAAAAAAAATAGAAAAAAAAAAAGCGTAAATTAATCAATGTAAAGAAACACAATTAACGTCCTGGGAAATATTTGAATGTGTCGTCTGTGCTACTTTAAAAATGTGACAGCCCAATCTTTGATTTATCTACCTGACTTAAACTTGGTATATTCAAAGCAGAGAGATATGATATTAAAATAAAAATGGCTAATTGAATGTCTTTGCTTAATAAAATCATTTAAATAAGGCCTCAGTCATATATGCTGAAAATGACACATTAGAGCCGATCTTGTGCACAAACAAAAAGGCATTTAATCTCTAAACAAGACCATACACATTTGTATAAACCATATTTAGGACCTTTAAATGTTATAGTCTAAAATTGCTTCGCTTATCATTGAAAATCTGGTTAATTATGGTTTTTTTTTTTGTTTTTTTTTTTAAAAAACAACAACATTAATGCATTAATTTGAGGTAATTATTGCATAAATGAGTTATCACAGAATTGTAAGGGGAGAGAACACACATTAATAATTCACTTTGAAGGAATAATTTTATCTTATAATATTTTATTAAATAAAAATAATGTAAATTAAGATAAATGGTGAAAATTTCATCATATAAAGACGAAATATAAAAATTAAATTTCAAATTGTATTAATTAATATGTATGCTTTTTTTGTTCTAATTTAAAATGGTGGTGCTTTCATATTTTGACATTCCGTCAATATGTGCGGTTGGTATAAATACGGTTTCTATTTACTTATATAACCTCTAACTCCTATTGGATCTTTAAACAAAATTTAATTTACTCTGAATCATAATTAGAATATTCAAAAAGGAAATGAAAACAAACAAAAAACAGGTGTTATGAAATGCACAAAAAACATTAAAGAATTTGCAGAAAGAATTTTTATTTCTTGAATAATGTCTATCTTAGATGCAGAATATTTTTCTTTGAAAAATATAGATGATAACAACGTTCGGAACAAGTGAAAAATTAAATCAAAATTTATTGAAACTATTAAATTTTTTAGAATGTTGAAATGTGCAGATCATTTTGGAAAATAAACTAAAAATACTAATGTTTGCTTTAATAAGATTTATTATTTGGAATTAATGTAATAGATTTTTTTTTAAATAGTTAACATGATATATATTTATTGTTTTTAAAGACACCGCATAAGGGATTCAAAATAAAAATATGGGCACTATTATAAAGCAAAAAAATGAAGAAACCAAATAGCTTATTTAACAATCAAAAGTTCAGATGTTTTTAACACTTTTGCATTTCGATAAGATAATAAATTCCCATTATAGTGAATTAAAATGTGGCTATTTATCAATATTTATTTATATATGATTAATCTCATTATTCAAATTGTTAATTTTTTTTTTGCTTTCCTAATTTTTTGTTGAATTAAAACAAAGAGATAATTTTTTTTTTAAAAAAAAGCTGTCCTTGGATAATCCAAACACAAATATAAGAAAAAAATCAAACCAGTTTAAGTATAATCTTTCTACGATTGTTATTTAACACTTTTAAAAAGGAATTAAAATGTTATTTTATAAGTGATAATGACTTACTTTAAAATATTATTCTGTAATCTGCGAGTGTTTTTTTTTTTAATTTAAATATATGATTATGTAAATGTATTGATAATAGTTCCCACATGTTAAGTTTTAAACTAATGATAATAGAGTCATTTAAATAGGACAATCTTAAACAGGCCATTCTCTGAATAGATGACGTTTAAAAATAAAAAAAAACTATATGAAATGTCAAAAAAATATTGAAATGTTTGAAAATGGTATTTGAAAAGTATACAATTATAATAATAATATTATTATTATTTAATTTGAGCTTTTTGCATGTAATAACAATAAAAAATTTTGAAACTAAGAATATATATAAAATTTGTTTGTTATCTAAATGTTATTTTAGTTTTAAAAGTCATAAAATTGTTATCAACTGATAGAAAATCAAAGTTATATAACGTAAGCAAACCTTTTAGTAGGGCATGCAATAACATATGATTCAATTTGTATTAGAATATGTATATGGGTAAGAAATGTTGACTCCATAAAATGATCAATAACAATATCGCGAGACCAAAACTTAAATAAAACTGTAGCAGTCAGGTATCACAGTGTAAAGTAAATAAAAGACAACGACTGAAATGTAGTGTACAAATGTTAAAAAACAATCAGAGTAATTAATAAATGATATAAAAAACGAGTAATTATCACACATGTAATTATTGAATTAAATAAGTTATAGGCATGTCATTAAAAACTAATGATTAGCCAGACATTACATTATTCGTTGTAATACGGTCACATAATGTGTCATTCATTATTTTGTTACAGATGATACATTTTTTTGTGTAAAACTTAATATTTTATATTTATAACTTACTGTCATATATTAGTAATGTATTTAAAGTCATAGAATAATCAAGATTTCAATTTTTTTCAAATAATCAATGCAGTGCATAAGAATTAATATAATATTTAAACAATTAGATTTTATGATATTACATTTGTTTAAAAGAAAAACAATAAATCAAAATAACAATTATATTAATATTAGAGAAAATATAACTTATATATATACACGGTATATATTTTATATAAGGGATATGAAATTAGCTCAAATGTAATTGAATTGTCAAATTATAAAATTGTATAAAGGTTGTTCATAAATGAGATTAAACTATTCCAAAAGTTAGAGTTGTACAGCAACAGCTTCAAACATGCAATTTCCATCTCGTTGGATAGGAACTAATGTAAGATCTTTTTCAGCAAGCATGATCCTCAGCTCTCTATCACTCTGCATATCTTGGTCATCTTGGAGGAGTAATATTAAAAAAGAAAAAAAAACAATTACAAAAATGTTCAGAATTATTAAATTTTCTTGTAAATAAAATGGACATTGGAAAATGTATACATTGTTTTCAATATAAATAAAAGAACAATTTAAACATAAAACATTTGAAGTGATCTTTCAGCGCAAAAATGACGTTAATTTTCCTGGGATCTGACTCCTTTGATAATATTGACTTAGTGATTATTTAGAGTGTGTATCACTCGAGGAGCATGAACGTAACTTCTGATAGATTTATCTTTCGCTCCTAACTTTAAGGGAAAGAATTCGATCTAATCGAGCAGATTTTGGTTATCTGTAATGAGGGGGGGGGGGGTATCTTCCAAATACGTTTTCAGTTTTAATAATGCATTATACTTCTACTAGTTCTTCAAGCGAATGCAGTTTTGTTGTTTTTTTAGCAATATTAATTGCTTTTTATGAAAAGAACACTTTAGACGTGGCAGGTTATAGTACAGTGTCATGTACCTGGAACAAGGAAGAATGTTTCATAAGAAACTTACCAATATTTTGTGCATCGTCTGCAACGGCCTCAACAGCTGCGTGAAAGTGGTCGGGCTGGCGTACCAAATAAATGGGTGTGTCTTGCGTCACAGGACCGTCGGGATTAAATTCCTGTTGTTCCATTGTCTGATCTTCGAACAAAATTACAACGCGTCTGCCGATAACTGTTGCCAAGGCCTCGGGAACAAAATCTGCCAGACTGACATCCCAGCAACCTGGCTTCGATAAGGTCTCCAGCTCCTTGTACCAGTCTTTGCCCGACAAACCATATTTCTTCTGGTAAGTAATCGCGTGTTTTTCAAAGTGGGCACATACTTTTTGACGCAACCTGTTTGCGTCGAGAGTATGGTTTGAAGATCTCGAGGACTTCCTGCTGTTCCCGTTTACTGGCTTATGGAAAATCTGCTGAACGCTGTCTTCAGATCCTGATGAGTGGCTGCTCCGCTCTTCAATAAAAGAAACAGTTTTCTCTTAAAAATAACTCTAATAATAAATAAATATATATATATATATATATATATATATTGATAAAATATAAGAACTAGTATTTGTGTATATATAAGAGTTTTAAAGATTTTATTACATTTTTTAGCAAAGAAAAATATCCATATATGCTAAAAAGTATTTACCACTGCGACGAAGCTTATCATGTCTTTTATTTGCACCTGCAAATATTTGTTTTTTAATATTAATCTTTTATACCGTAAGTTTTATATAAAAAATAAATTGATTAAGTATTTTTGGACAAATAAATATATATACGATTTTTTTTTTAAATTAGCAATAAATGGAATTATATTTTGTAAACACAGTTGCGTCCTGTGAATGAGTGTGGTAAACAAAATTTTTGGTTCAATATAGCCAAATATGCTCACCCCTAAACTCCCTTTCTCCTGGAAGCCTAAACTTTTCTTTGTCCACAATCTCTTTTATCAACACGTATGCACTGTTCAATCCAATCTCATTGTCACTCACAAACAACCATATCCAAAATTCCATACAATTCCATCTACCCTTACTAACGAGAAGTTTACTTCATTGTTTTAATTCATGCTACTTTCTTTATAGGCAAAATTTACTCATCATTTAAAAACAACAAACTTACATAAGTATTATGAATGATTTACCTTTTTTTATCCTACGTATAAATTTTTTTTTAAACGAATCATTTAGCAACCGTGAATATTTTGTGCCTACCATTTTCCTCACTTTGATATGCTAGGCTATGTAAAACGCACCTGAGCTGATTAGTGAAAGCGGAAAGTAGATTCCCGTCTGACCGTGCTGCATCTTTCCCAGATACAGAAGTTTGTTAGTCGGTTTTGTCAGCGGTGAGACCAAGTAAAACGGACAGGATGGACTGCTGAGCACAATCAAAATGTTCGTCTCCAGGACCGTCGCTGTGACCCGTGCGACGGTGTCGACAAACGCATCGCTGATGGTGAGATCTGAGAGAAAAAGGCCCTTGCATTTGTTCCAGTCTTCCTCGTCGCAGAAGGATTTCGACTGATATCTTTCATGATCGCTGGTTAATTCTTGGACAACTGCTTGTTTTAGGTTGTCAGTTGTTGTCTTTGGGGCCTGGTCTGCTATGGCTGTAAACATATCTGTGCCAGAGTGGTTCCACTTCTCAAGCCCCATGCGCTTGAGCCTCGTTTCCAAAAGGCCTGGTGTATCTTTAAATATATATATATATATATATATATATATATATATATATATAAATATATATATATGTTAGAACATTAACATTTCTGCAATTAAATTACATAAAACGGACTTTTTCCATAAATATTACAATTTTGTTTACAATAATTTAAAGTATAAACACTTGGACAAATGCAATAATGCTCAGCTCACACTATCAAATTTGCATTTCAATTCTCTTTGAACGCAGTATTTTGTTTTACGTTTAAAAAGAGATTTGCCGCAAATTTGGCAAACATTTGATCAGGCGAGCTGAGTATAAGTGGATATTTTCTTGAAAAAAAAATATTTTGTTCCGTCAGGAATCCTATTGTTTTATTTTTTAAATTTTTTTTATTGGAATCGTTAAAATACTTGCAGAGCAATGCAATACCAATTATATTCAAATATAACGATTCCGCAATAATGATAAGAATGGACTTACGCTTGCCTCTTCTCCAGATGTTTTCACCTAAATGTGCGTCTTCTGATGGCTCCACTGGGTAATAATCCACAGCTCCGGGATGTGTGAAGGAAGCACAAAACACCACCCTTCTGTATAATATCTGCTGGGCTTTTTCGGTAGGGCTGACCAGGCTTAAGGCCCGTGATTTCTGGTTTGAGACTAAGACAACAGTGGACTCCAACAAATCCGCGAGGGCTTTGATTTTAACTGAATCGTCGGCCAGGCTTTGCTCTCCGTTCCCGTTCTCTGTCAGACCATGAGTTTTAAGGTACAAAGTTACGACAGATTCCAGCATGTCGGGAGCTTCAACGGGGCATTTAATCAACCATTCAGAAGCAGCGTAAAACACATTTTTCACAGGTTTGCTTGCACCAAGCTTCAAGTTTAGATGTTCCAAGCGTTTGAATAAAAGTATCTCCGTACCTTCTTGTCGATTTTCTTTAAAATATAAATGTAAAAAAAATATATATATTTTTAGTGACCGTGTTAATAATTTGATAAGATTTCTAATTAACAAAAAATATAATTTTGGAAAACCTTTTTAAAATATTTTAAAAACATATAAATATTTTTTTCAAACAACCTTAAAGTTGAGTTACAAAATAGTTTTATTGAAATTTATAACACTAAGGAAGCAATATTTCAATCCAATTACGTTGTTATATAAAAGGCCATAAGGATAACTAAGATGTTTATGTATTTGTGGCTTGTGAAAATAAATGCAGGCTAGACATTTTTCAAAAACAAATTTAACTAAATTGTATCTAAGCATATTCCATTCAATCTATCAAACTAGCATGGACTTTGAAATGAAAGAAAAAGGAAGTTCAATGTTGGATAAAAAAAATGAATAACTTAATTCTTTTTTTAAAAAAAAACCTTTGGGTTCTTTACTGCTTGGGATCAGAGCATCGTAGTGTTCTTTTTCATGCTGGTAATACAAGGCCACGTATGTTTCAGTGCCCTGCACTTGCTGTGTTTCCTCGGTCGTTGGTATGACCCTAAGTGGACAATTCCTGTCGCTGGTGAACATCACAATGTTCCGCTGTAAGACTTTGGCCGTGCTATGCAGAACAACGTCGCGGAGATGTTTATTCCAGCGACCAGTTTTCGCCAACACCTCCTCCCATCCTTCGAACAGACCCCCGTCAATCAACTCGTAGTCTTGAAAGTTGTCCTTAATGTCCTGGCAACTGTCATGGCGCAGCTTCTTCGGCGTTCGCCCGTTGTCTGTCTGCAAAATGATGGCCCAAAACAAGCTGTCCCCGTCTTCGGGGGTGTTTTCCTTATCTAGGACCAGCAGATCTAAACTGATGCTGCTCTTAGATTGTCGTGAAACGCTGGAATCTTCAGGAAGAAATTGGATTGAATAAAATTTTATCTGATATGATATTGTTAGAAAATATTAGAAACTATCATGTAATAAAAAATACTTATTAATTTGATTATAAATTTAAACTTTAAAAGATTTTTTTTAAAGGATAATTCAATTCATTAATGTATAAATATGTAATCATTGTGTCAAAAGGTTTAACATATTATATTATATAAAATAAATATTTATTTTTACCACAGCCATGGTTTATTATCTTTTCTAATAAAAGCAACGCAATAAAGATATCAAAATAGCTTGAGGGTACTAAATGATAAGTAATTACCTTTTCCATTTGTTTCTGATCTTGATGTAGACTGCTGCACATTTTTTCTACATGAAAAAAATAGCTAAGCAATTAATAAATGAGGAAGAAAATAAGATGAATCATTTTTTGAACATGAAATGCAAATTAGTTTTCAAAAAGTTAATACTTAATATCTTATTATTCCTTTGCTCTTTAACTTTAGGACTTAGATTATTAATAAGAAGAGTATATCATTTAAGTTTCAGCTGTAGTTTCACATTTTAACAAAGTTTAACATATAAATACATTCATTTAAATAAAACTATTTTAAAAGCTCTTATTACAAAATACATGAAAATAGAAAAAAAATGATTGAAAAATGTGATTTTCATCAAGTGTAAAATATTGATATTTGTACCAGAAGGTATGATAACATCTTACTTGATACTAAATTCTTCAATCGACATTTTTTCCAGCCTGAGCAGTTTTCGCCTCATGTGTTTCTCCTTAATTTTTTTAACTGTCGTGAAGATTTTAAGACTTATCATTTTATCATTTTATTTTCAATTTCAACATAAAACATGGGAAGTATTTGAAAGTAGCTGGAGCACTGCCTGGCCTGAACTTCACTTAGAATAATGTTAGATATTGATTATATAATACTAATTTCGATAAAGGAAACATTTGAATTGAATTGATTTTTTTCTTAAAAATAGTTTTATGTTTAGGTGACGTGCACATGTTATCAAACACAATTATGTGAAATATTTTCTAACCCCACTCCTTAACCGTAATAAAGTAATATAACATGACAATCCCAATTTTATATAACATTTCTAGAAACCAACCCCACCCCCCCCCCCCACCCGTGGGGGGCATATAAATAAAACATTGGAACAACAACCATTTGTTTGGAGTACAGGGGCTAGTTTACACTAAAACTTGTATCATCTACACAATCATGCAGGACTAAAACAATCGCGTACCATTGAAACCAGACAAACCTGGCAAATTGCAAGCAAAAAAAGTCCGAAATTATATTTGAACAGAAAGGCGTAAATAGTGTAAAGAAAAATTACAAATAACTTTTCAGTAATCTAGCCTAATTTCGTAAATTTGATGAGCAGAAATTTGGCCAATATTGGATTGTTTTTTTTCTAAAAATAATAAAGAAATAAAGAAATAAAAAAAACTGTTATACAATACTACTCTCTAGCACTCCCACCCCAACCCCCTTATCACAAAATGGTAAACCAGCCCTACCGTTTGGAATTCATGGTTTCATTTAAAAGTAAAAGCAAGCCAAATATTACCGAAAATGTCGTTGCTTGATTTTGTAAAGAAAATGATGAACGAAAGCAGGATAAATGGGGGCGGCAAAAGCAATCGTTTAGAAAACTCCATTGTGGTCTTGAAGCTCTGGTAGTTCCAGACCAGTTCAGCTTGCGTTTCGATGTTGGTGATGGTGGAGCTAAAGCGGAGAAGAGAGATAGTGCGAATTGATATAGGATTTAATTTACGGCTGGGTATATGTTGTGAAGTTTTCTGAAACACGCTGCCCTACACACGCCTTTCTTCATTTGCTTTTGAATTTATCAACGACCAACTACATTTCTGAGTAGCTTTATAAAAAATGTATTTAACAACTACATCATCCCCAGCCCTATGTCATGACATTATTTCTATCCATGAAGAAATGAATATAACTTTATTTGATTTACTTGGTATTAATTAAAATATTTGAAACACAACAAGACAAAATGAAGTATTTTTATGTATGCTGTAATCAGATAATTATATACAGGGTGGGCCAATAAAAGTGAGGACATCTCGTAGCGTAATATTTTACGAGATGTTCTCACTTTTTTTGGCCCACCCTGATATATATATATATATATATTATAAATATATAAGTGAAAGTTTGTTTGTGTGTCGCTGGTTGGATTTGTTGCACGTACACTTTTACATGGTTTGATGGATCTTGACCAAACTTGGCACATATATCCATCATGATCCAGAAGGATTTCTTAAGGGGTTATGAACTTTTTATAACATTCCGTTTGGGGCTGGGGGCCCCGAATTCGTTTTTTTTCCTCCTAATATGAGCTATATAAATAAAATTACTAAACAATACTCCTATATAAATGGATGGATCTTGCCCAAACTTAGAACATATACACTTTATTATCCATATTCAAATACCTAATGGGTACTGAACTCATAATCTCCATTCCTCTGGGGCTGGGGCCACGTTTCATTTTTATCTTTTATAAGTTATATAACTACCAATAGGCTTAATACTCCTACTTCAATAGATGGATCTTGACCAAACTTAATACACAGTACACATACATCTACATTCAAATACCGAAGGGTACTGAACTCATAATATCAATTCCTCTTTGGCCCCTGGCTCCATTAAATTTTCCTTATATAAGCGATATAAATATCAATAGGCTTAGACAATGCTATAGGCAATAGGTTCGTTGTTAATAGATGGATCTAGACCTAGCCTAATGCATTACCTTTCATAGCCCGGGTTAAAATATCTGTGTTGATTTAGACCTAAGAATATAAAGTCTAGAATTTTCCACAAAGTTAGATAATTTAAAAAGCTATAAATATGACATTTTAAAGTAGATTTTAATGGGAGACATTTTAAATTTTAACTTTATTATTTATCTGTCTGATTTTATAGGCCCACATCTCAAGTATAACAAATTCGGTAAAATTATGGGGCTCCTTGATTAACTTAAAAGTAAATGGATTATAATTATGGCATTCGTTGAAGATTTTTATCGTATTTGAAAAATAATTGGATAGGTCGTTTTTACACATGTTTCGAGCAGGTTTTTAAAAATTTAATCTAGAATGTTCCAGAACATTATAAATTGTTACAAGGGGAAATATAGTGGAATATAAGGGGTTATTGAAATTATAGTTACTTCTATTCATTTCTATACTGTCCCGGAGTTTATTGTTCTCTCAGTAACACCGATTATTTTTTTTATATTGGATCCCAAAAGGGTCGGAAACCTATCATAAGGTGTATCCCAAAGGGATCAGGATCCCATCAGAAAATGGGATCTCACCGGTATCGGTATCCCAACCTTGAATGGAATCCACCGGGATCGGGATAACACTAGGAAACGGGACTGCCCCGGGATCGGTGTCAGAATGGGATTAGGTTTCCAATGGGATCGGGGTCACACCAGGAAGTGGTCCTAAGGCTATCCCGGCCAACGCCGGGTATATCCGCTAGTCTTATGTAATAAATGTATGGCATTAAACTATTTTTTTTAAAAATGTTTATAAAAAAAAGTCAGTTGTATTTAAATTTCTTTAGGTCTGGCTTGTTTTGAATTTTTTTTTTATTATTTTGTTTCATAAGGTTTGGAGTGAGTAAAAAATGACTTTTGAAGGAAAATTAGAAGCTACCGTAAAAATATGTTATAATTATAATAAAGTTTTTTTTTTTTTTAAATCCAAGGATTGTTGTGACCATGACATAGATAAATAAAACGTGTTTGATTTGACTTCAGCAATGAACACGTTAAAGAAAATGAAAGTTAGTCACTATGAAGTAAATACAAATAAAAACTTACTTAAATTTGGCAATGACCAAGTTGAAGAGAAGTATGTTGGTGACCATGACGTACATGCCCATCAAGATAGGCACGTAGTATCTACTGACCGCAGTGGGACACCTCACCGTCGTATAAGTGTTATAGATTGATGGATCAGTGGTGCATTCACTCGTGCTGTTTGGGGCTGTTAATGAAGATCAATTGCATTACCAACCATCAAGACTATGGAGGCGATCATAAAACCATCAAACAAACATAGTAATATTGTCAATTATGCCTTGCAGGAAATGAGGATAGAAAGTTACATCAACTGCATACATATATCTAGTAAAAGGCGCCTTCGTCGGATAGTTCTTCTGAGGAGAATATTGGAAGATCGCGTCCTAAAGAACAGAGGGACAAGAATTATCGGACGCCCTAGAAATAAGAGGAAACCTAGGGTAAAAATCCAGTATGGTAGATCATCGCTGATCGCCGTTCCGGCTAGGTAATAGCAACGTGTAACAGAGGCAGTAAAACACACAGAGATTTGCATTACTAGGCAAAACCAGTAGCCATTCCACGATCTGTCTCATAAGAAGAAAAAAAAACGATGCACTTTGAAAAGGCTATATCATCGTCTCAAAAAGCTGAGAGAGAGAGATAGAGAGAATGAGAGACAGAAACACGGAGATAGAGAGAGACCGAGATATACAGAGAAAAATAAAATACGGATTAAGACAGATGGGGATAAGCAAGGAGTGGGAGCAGACACTCTGAGCTCCATGCAATACTTATTTATTTTCCGCATATTGATAAATATTGTGATTAAGCTAACAATTAATTAAGGAAATGAAATGGAAGTGCGTATTCTTTTTTAGACAGCAACAACTACACCAACTGCAATTCAAAAATGGGATTGAAAAATCGTCAAACATTTAAGATAATCTGTGTAAAAAGCAAGCCTCTATTTTACCGTCAATATCGCTTAAAAAATGCTCTCCAAACATAGACCAGTACGCCATACGAAACAAGTAGAAAATGCCCGGTCCGCTGAGCTTTTTCTGTGGGTACAGAACCGATTCAGAGGCAACGGCAAATGCCACGAAGAAGACAAGCAGGATGATCAGGAATTTGCACAGCGTGAGAACCTTTGGAATACACGATTGCATACATTGAAATTAAAAGTTTTCTTTATGTAGGACAGAGACAGTATTGTTCAATTATTATTGAAATAAACAGTAAAATGTTAAAATACTACAGATTTTTAAAAAATAATTTGTCCCATTTGTTTCATTTTTGATGTTGAATTACTATAAATTTAATTAATTAATTAATGGATAATATATATATATATATATGGTCTCGTTTACTTTCATTTATCTCTTCATGTGAATGAACTTAAGCTGACTCCAAGTTCGGCGGTGCTATTAAGGCTTGGCTAAATAAAAATAATCTCCCTTGACCACAATTACAAAGAAATATCATCTATAGTCTGTATTACTAGAATGCTTTAGATTGTAGAAGATTGGTCGAGGCGCTTATACAATGTGTAGTGCAAGCCCTTTCTAGAAATATCAGTAAGACGGACTATAAATATGCGGACGAGAGATACTTTTGAGATCACTATTACGGCAGAAATGTGTGCAGTTCACATAACGAGAAGAAGATTTCTATGTTTACATCTTTAATGCTTGTGTGTACTTTTTTTGTGTGGTTTTTCAACATTGTATCTTCTTGAACATTGTACCGGTACAAGCCATCATTATACTTTAACTGTAAGTCAACAGCTTTAGTTCTTTCTTTTCTTTTTTTTTTTCATTTTTAAATTTATAATGAACCTTCTAGAATTCTTAAATTGTAATTAGCCAAAGTTTGGGTATCGTTTCAATTTTATTGTATTTAGTTTTTTTGATATATCGTTTTTCGATGCGTATTGTTGTCAACGAGCTATTTAATTTACAATATATAAATATATAAATATATATATATATATATATATATATATATATATAT